TGCTGCCGCCGTGTCACCGGAGCCCGATTTCTGTTCTTATCCTGAAGCAAAGTTCTTAACCTGAAGCACTATTTCTGGGTTAGCGGAGTGTGTAACCTGAAGCGTATGTAACCCGAGGTACCACTGTACATGGGGAGTCATGGGGACACTAGCCCCTTGCATTCCACCCAGAAGCATGTAGACAGCTGAACTTAATTTTTCAGAATCAGTGCTGTATGCAGTAGCAGTTGGTTTGTTGGCATGGGTGGTGTGGCATTGCTCGGACTTCCCAACCCCAAACATTGTTACTGGCTACTATGACAGGAGAGGAGCTTGAAACAGTACAGATGCAGCAGCAGAGCCAACCCAACACTCCCACTGCTGCCCCCACACTAAGCTCCCCTCCCCCTTACACCTGTCCTTCTTGGTAACTGGCAGCAATGTTCAATGTTGGAAAGCCAGGTAAGCAGGATTGCTCTGCTGACTGCTACTGAGTACATGATTCCAGCTAATTCTGTCCATTAACAGTCAAATTTTCAGCACAATATTCAGCACAAACTGTAGCCTCTAAAAGGGAAGATCCACGTAGAGCACATTTATCCAGTCAGGAAGTTACCAAAGCATGCATCACTGTGGTCAGGCCATCTTCATCCAGGAATGGCCATCGTTGATGAACCAGCTGGAACTGAGCAAAAGTACTCCACACAACTGAAACCACCTGGGCCTCAAATTACAATGCCGAATCAAAGAGTTCCCCCAAATTATGCAAGTTTCTTTAGGGAGAGTAAAACCCATCTGGAACAGGCTAGGTTAGAAATATTCACCATTCCATTACTGTTTTTATATTGTAAACAGCCCTGTGATCTTTGGATGAAGGACAGGATAGATATTGAATAAATAATAATAATACTGCCTACACTCCATTCCTGCCTTCAAGCAATAGTCCGGCATCTTAGATCCTCCCATTCTATTGGCTCAGTCTTCATGAGCACATATGAACATTTTTCTTGCTAAACAGGTAAAGTCAGTGTCTGCATGTGTCTACAGGACTGTGAACTGTTGATGCTAAAAAGATGGCATAATACATCACAGCAGCAATCAACTTTTAATTACATATGAAAGTATGTTAATGGAGTGCATCCATGGTGCATGTTTGAGTAAATAGGAAGTGTGAATAGTGTTTGTGTGTGAGAGAGAGAATTGCAAGTGATTTGCAGTCTATAATTTCTGAAAGAAATAAAGTGAGCTCTTGTGAGAGTAAATAATGCTTATAAATCTTTCTGATATGTTGTTGTTGTTGCTGTTTGTTGAATTTATATACCAACCTATGCCTGGGGGGTCTCAGGATGGTTCACATAATAAAATAGATTGTAAGAAACACTTTACGTTAACTTGCAACTTAACAAAGGTAAAAGGAAATAATTGTATTAATGTATCTTCAATAAACCCACATTCTAAGGAATGATATGTTTTCTGTTAGGTTTTCGGTAAGGCTATTCTTAAAAAACCCCACACAACCCACTGTCCTAACCATATATATATTTATTTCATTTCAAGGAAACTAACTCTAAATACGTTTTCTTAGGACCGCAGACTTTACGCAGCATTATAAAATTCATTTGTCTTTTTTATGGTGAGTTAGACCAGTGCTTTTCAACCAGTGTGCCTTGGCACCCTGGGGTGCCTTGAATGATGGTCAGGGGTGCCACGGGCAACACTGGACTCTGTCCCTCTTTCCTTCCATCCTTCCTTGGATGCCTTCTCATTTCTCTGCCTCCCAAAGGCTTCCACAGCTGTTTGTTGCAGCAGCCCTGCCTATGAGCTCCCCAGATGAATGGTGCGTCTGGGGCTGGCCAGGGAGTGCTGTTTGCCAGGAACTGAGACAGCCTCAGAGTAAGCAAGCAAGCCAGTGAGGGAGCCCAGCTAGCCAGTCCACCAGCCCTTACTGTTGGGAATGGACAGACAAGTGGGAGGCCAGGCACGCAGGCGCTGAACTGGCCTTTTTTGTGCTTGCTGTGTGCTGAAGGGGAGTCTTTCCACCATGCAGGCCCGGCAGTGCTGGCCTCACATTCACCTTTGGCCAGTCTCAGTTGTTCCACTGAGGCTGGGGGCATCTTCTTCCCAGGCCCCTGGGGGGCAATGTGAGGAGGTACATCTCTCTGGGGCAGTGGAGGAAGTTCAGAGATCAGGGGGAGCAGCATCAGTGGATGCCTGGAGGACTCCCAAGGAGAGGGGAGAGGAAAGGAAGCTGAGGGAACACTCCACAAGGGAAAGTGTTCAAAAAAGGATGAGAGGCTGTCATCTTCAGGCAAGGGGTGACATAACTGGGCTCCTGAGCCCCACAGGGGTGCCACAGAAAGAATGTAGTTGGTCAAGGGAGCTGTGGACTCAAAGATGTTGAAAACCTCTGAGTTAGACCTATAAGGATGTTTCTTTAGCAGAAATTTTGCTAGAATGTTGTGGGTTCAATTCAGATTTACCCTGAGTGAAAAATCATTCCACTGATTGAAGAGGTGTGTGTCAATTTTCACCTCCACAAAATCTGCTTCTGAGAGTTGGGAGCCCCTCTAGATCAGTGTGTGTGGGGGGGGATCAAAAGAAGGGGGAATTGGCAGATTGGAGTGTGTTCCATGAATGGAAGGAGGCCTTCTGTCAGCAGTTTGACAAGTCTGGAACCACCCATGCATATTTAATTAGTACATAAGAAGAACTGTGCTGGATCAGACAAAGTCCTGTTTATTTCAACACTCTGTCCTCAGAGTGGTCAACTAGATGTCCATGTAAAGTCCACAAGCAGAACCTGAGTGCATTTGCACTTAGAGAATAATAACTATACTCATATAACACTTTCCTGGGAGTAAGTCTCATGGAAGTCAATGAGACATACAGCACAAACTTATACATATTTACAGGGGGGCACGCCTAGTGCCATCACTATCTATTTTAGGCACCAGGTAAAAACATTTTTCTTTAGCCAGCCCTTCAAAGCATAACTCTGAATATTTTTAGTTGAGTGGGGTTGGGTTGGATTTGCTCTTTTATGCATATTATTGTCTTTTGGGTTACTTTTACTCTGGTTTTTAATGGTTATGTCACTCTGAATTTATATTTTTTGGAAAAAGTGACTAAATGTAATAGTAATAATGATAATTAATAGCAGTAAGTCCCCTTATATTGAATGTGGCTTACTCCCTAGCAGGTGTATTTAGAATTGCAGCCTTATTTTAAGGAGGCATGCACATAGGATTGTGCTAGAAATAAAATACATCTTTAAAGTATTGTTGACAAGGACTGTAAAGTAATTGTTGTAATATTTTGTTTTTACAGTCCAGCTAAACCAAAGAATGTAGAATTAAACCTTAAGGCGTCCAGAACTCTAGAAGATGTGCAAACTGAACAAGATTCTATGGACAAAGCTGTTAAAATTAACTTCAGTATTGCCAATAAAATATCCATGTTTGAAAGCAAACAAACTAATCAGAACCAATCTGCTGAGATCTCTTCTTTAAAAAAAGGTTCTGTATCAAATACATTTGTTGGCAGAGCAAAGCTGAAATTTGGGAAACAGCACCCTGAAAGTGAGCAGACCAAAAGAACAACAAATAAGCCAAACAATCGACAGAAAGCATTGCAAAATGGTGCAAAGGTGAAGGATGTATCTTTAGATATAAAAAGCAAGTCTGAAGAAGGGATTCAGTCAAATATTATAACTAATGAAGAAATTGGAAATGCTGCTGAATCTCAGTTTAGTCAGAATGGAAAAGTAGATGATAACCATGTGAGTGTTTTTATTTCTAAAAAAGTGGATACAGAATTAGCCAACGATAACTGTTTGCCTAAAACGCCATCTGTACTACAAACTGAAGAAATTGAAACAATCCAAAATGATAACAGGAATACAAATGTCAGATCCATATCTCCTGAAAGTGGAGAGGAACTTTTCTTGAAAACAGACATGCATTCTCTAAGTAAAGAAGACCAGTGTCTCCTGCAGCCTGACCCAGTGCCCCCCAAAGTAGAACACAACATGACTTCTCAGACTGAAAATGAAGACACAAAGATGACAAATACGTTTTTGGAAAACAAACAGATATTCGAGCAGAATTTCAGTGGACAACCTGATTCAAACAGTGATTGTAATGTCCCTAAAGCTGGCAATGAGGATACCATTTGTGATTCCCCAGACATGACGAAGTTTACTGAAACTATTAAAAATCTAGACAGCTCTATTTGTGTACCTCAAAAAAAGAAAAAACCCAAAGTTCCAAAATCTCCAGCACCTCCCTTTGCTATGCCTCCAATTCATGAGGACAATTTAGAGAAAATATTTGACCCCAATATATTTACAGTTGGTTTAGGAATCAAAAGAGACAAACCACGAGATTTAGCCCCATCCCTGCAGCTGAAATTGCATAGTCTAGAAACAGAGGCTAGAGTCAGACCCAAACGTGCCTCAGCTGAGAACAGCCTTCTTCTCCAATCTCTGAAATTATCCAACAGACCAGACCTTGCACTTACCCAGGAAATAAGTGGGAAAGAGAGCAAGGATGGTACCGATGGAGACATTAAGAGATCTCGACTTGAAAAGAGTGCCATATTCTCAAGCCTTCTATTACCTGCAACTAAAGAAAATGTGTTTACTCCATCTGTAACATCTATAAACACTATCACAACAACTTTTGCATCTCAGAAGAGTGTTAATTGCCCAGGAGACCCTCCTCTAATATTTGATGTGGCTCAGAAATCTGAGGTAATAGGACAAACATCATATAACTACATATAAACTCACATGCTATGTATGTTGTATTATACCTTAGCAGTAAACAACCACTGTTATATTTTTTTGTGCTGTTCAGTCTCTTTCAGATTTCAAAAATCCACAATTTATGGAGAAATATTTGCAAACTGAGGATCCAAAAAAAGAGAGAATTTTACAGATGTCTAACTTTGGAAACCCTGACACCAGTTTTTCAAGCTGGTTGAAACCTGGGCAGTATGAACCAAATAGCTTCTTACCAGACATTGAGGTGTGTTTAATGTTGTTTACCTACTTTTAGAAGTCTGTCTGCATGCTTTGTGTAACTAGAAAGTCAAATTGATTTTTGCTTTGCTTTCTTTTGTTTGATACTGGTTTGATTTATATACATACCTACATACATTTTGTTGTTAGAACAAAGAATAGCTTGAATTGGAAATGACTATTTTCCAGAAAAAAAGATTATCTTTTCAATAAAGTGAGATGTCATTAGCATGCTGCATTTCTCTAACCAAATGATCAAAATGAATCTGGAATGAGAAGATCATGGCTGCATCTAGGCACTACTGATTGCCCAATTTAGCATAAAGGCAGGAAACAGTAGAAGAAAAAATATACAATCATACTGCAGTATGTCAGTTGTTTGGATTCTGCTGCTGACCCCATCAGTCTTCACATCTACAGATTGTTCAGCAGTCAGTTGTGCTGAACCAGCATACGTGTTGGTTGAAAAGCCTTCTAGAATCACTGTAAGAATGCCTTCAGTCTGCAGCTGTTAAGAATGGTCATTTAAGATAGGTTTTACTAGACAAAAATGAAATCTAATAGTAATAGATTCAGCAATCATTTGATAAACCGACTCATCAAAACAATTTTAGACTGTGTTCCCACATCCCATTTAACTTGCGCGCATTCAGCTTTACATGCATGGCAAAAAATTAAACAAAATGAAAAGGAACAGTGTTCTGGGGAAAAAGACACTGGCGATCACACCTGCCATTGAACGCAACATGATTTTGGCTTTAGGCCAATGTAACCCCCATGTAAGTTGCAGGCTTATTGTATGTTCCTTTAGAAATTCTATTCTGAATAATAAAAGGCATATTGGGAATCTATGGATTCATATATATTGCAGGTTATGTGTGTGGTGGAGCGGGGCACATGGTTGCACAGATACAATTTCTGGTGCTCCCCTCCCCCGAAATTAGTCTTCAAAACCATTCTGTTGTTGGGGTGAGCCTGGTTGTCGTATGTGTGTCGTCCCATGACAGTTTTTTTGATTTGCAACTGTGCTCATGGTGCAAAAAAATTGGTGGCCCCTGCTGTATATCATGAGAGACAGGAAATTGTTATGCTTTTGAAATATACTTCTGACATACATTTTTCATAGACCAAGTTTTATGCTAAAATTAACAGTGCAAGAATGGAATAGGCGCAGCATTATTGACCGAAAACTCCTAGAAAGCAACCATCTTGATAATTTACAAAACAAATCAGACTTGATTCAAAAGGTTTCTTCCTACCAGCTATAAAGATATATAGCTTCTTTAGAATAATCGGCTGTACCACATGGTGCATTGGGTGGTATGAGCTATTTGCAGGGCTGGGCTACAGTAATAAAATGCATACTCATGCCTTTATTGGCTAAAGGTGTAGTTCAACAGGCACTCCTTCCATACAAAGCCCCTGTTCGTTTTAGTGTGCTGTAAAATGACAGTGATTTGTGGTTGCAACTTCAGCATGTTCTGCATAATATATCTATGCAAACCTAAGGGGCAGCTTTAAGTGGCTTAATGGTTTGCATGGGCAACTTGAATGTGTGGTAATGTGTCAGTAAGATTTGAAAGCATGCCAAGCACTTGCAGGCCGTATAGCCTTAACCTGACCCCATTTTCGTAATACTAAAGTGTGACTTGTAAACTGTTTTAATGGATGTATTTTTTGAAGCTAAATACACTAAATGTATTCCAGCATTTCCCAAGATTAGGTAAGATATATCTCTTTTACAAATTAATTTCTTATTGTTTGTTCCCTCTGCTTTAACAGGCATTTTCAGGAAACAACCAAAATAAAATTAATCCTAGACCTGGAAAGGTGAGGTGATCCCCACCCCATTGATTACTGTTTTCCTTTATTTTTCCTTGTTGGATTAAAAAAAACTGAAGTTTTTCCCCTATAAATACAGATCGTTATCTGCAGTAAATCAGACCCTTTCGAAAATGCTATTGAAGTTTTTCATGATATGGAGGACTGCACCGCTTGGGTACTGTCACCTGCAATTCTAGTTAAAGTCGTCAGAGGATGGTAAGAATAAAATGCTCGCCCTACAGCTAGTTCTAAATTCAGTCTGCATGTTCCCATTCTGCTTTAACATACTTTATTCACTCCTTGACTGTATGCTTCTAAACTCAGTTTGGTCTCATGCCTTTTTTCTTAGCCTAGCTTGCGTAAACTCGTTTTCACTAGTCTATTCTCATGTGTGTTGAGGCATGTTTTGAACTGTTCCAGCGTGTCTGATTCTTGATCTGATGCATGTAGAAGCTTATTGTTAAATTTGCTCATGTGTTCCTATTTTCCTTCTTTGATGTTCTAAAAAGCTTTTCCTGTGACCTTAAGTAACTTCTAATTTTATACTACGTTGCCTTAATTCTCTTGAAAGACTACTGCTTTTTGGCTTTGAAAAGACCAGCAGGAAAGCTAGATTACTGTTAGGGATCTTTTAAAAACACTTCCTGAAGCTTTGATTAAAAACATCAAACAAATTTACATTGCTGGATTATCAAGTGATAAACTGTTTCACTTGGCAGAATTCCTGCAGCTTCCAGTGTGCTGCTGAAACCAAAGGCATACAGAATGAAACTGATAAAGTTTAGGGATTTCATGGGGTCATCAGAGTTTGCTAGTCAAAGCAAAAGAGGTTGGTTTCAATGCAGGAACGCATGTCTGTAATTATCTAGTTGTCATTTAATACTAGTCTTTTACCAAACAGCAAACGAATACCACGCTCTATGCAATAAAAGAAACATAGTTCTTTGCGCCCATTAGCTATATCTACAATTGTTTTAAAAAATACATTTATTATATGCCATTTTTTCACAATGTGCCCAAGCAGATATATAACAAGATGGAAATGTCAAAATAAAAATAATTATGTTTCAGTTTAGCTGTCTGAAAAGCTTGTATTTTATTTATTTGTTGTGATTTGGTTTGTGGAGAGTTGTGGCATAGAGCATGTGACTTAACACCCTAGTATTAATCAATTAGTTTGACAGTCCTGCACTGTTTAGTTACTTGCTTTGTTCCATTGTGGTAGGCTGCTTCATCTGCTTTGTTCAGCCATTTTGTTTGATTCATCCAATGCGAAACTTGCAAAACCAGAATTAATTTTATGTTGTTCAGATTTCCAACTTAAATTGATGTTAATTGCAAATTGTTGGTATGTCTTAGTCATCTTAATACAGTTACATGGCACACACTTTCCTCTATCCTACATGCAGAGGCTTCACACATACCGTTATTCAAATGTCCATTTCTTTCCAGAGTCCCAGCACACATCATTCTCATGCTTTTTATGGGATTACCATGCACGCTTAGGTGTTGTATGGGAGAGCCTAACATTAAATATGAATCAATGTCTTCTTTTCTCATGCCTTTTAAAGTTCCTGCCTTTCTTCATCCTCCTCCTTGACTTGTAATTCTTTCCAGCTCCTTACTTTCTTTCACCTCCTCAATGTTTCCTGTCTTTGACTTTCTTTATTAGCTGTTCAGCTTTTGAAATAGCTGCGAGTCTTGACTCCACTGTTTTGACCTGCCGTTTGGATTTGGCTGAAGCTCTGTACTTTCAACACCTGATATCTGGTTTGGTCTGACTTCTAGCTCTGTGCTAAATTATTTTTGGATCTCTGTTTCCTGGTTTCCCACTTGGCTATTTTCTTGATGTCCATTCTGACTTTGATCTTTTGAGGTAGACACCACCCTCTCCAAAGTCTTGACAACATCTCTCCACTTAGTGACAGGTGCTCCAGGTGAAGTATGTTCATATTCTTATTTTGGAAATACTGGGTTATATATCTCTGTGTTCTTTCTTCTGATCTTCTCACTCATCTTGCTCACAGGAAAGTAGATGGCTTGTTACAACAGACCATTATTTCACCATTGCTGCCCTAGTATTTGAAGGCATTGCTCTTTCCCTATGGTTATTTCTTTCATTGCATGTTAATCATCTTTCTGTGTTGCACTAACATTCTTGATTATAAGTAAGACATTGCTATTTATTGCATCTAGTTTTCTGCTATATAGTTGTATAGTTAAACCCCTACTGTGATAACATTATATACTGGCATTTCTCGGTATGGCCAATCCATTACAGTGGTACCTCGGGTTACATACGCTTCAGGTTACATATGCTTCAGGTTACAGACTCCGCTAACCCAGAAATATTACCTCGGGTTAAGAACTTTGTGTGGATGAAAACAGAAATCATGCTCCGGCAGCGCAGCGGCAGCAGGAGGCCCCATTAGCTAAATGGTGCTTCAAGTTAAGAACAGTTTCAGGTTAAGAACAGACCTCCAGGATGAATTAAGTACTTAACCCGAGGTACCACTGTACTTGTATTTGTCACCTCTAAATGCTCTACTATGAGTACCCCAGTTTATATTGACCTTAAACCATTCTTTTTACAGTTTTTGTTAATGTGAGAGTAATGGTAAACTAAATGCTTTAACTCAAAATAAATTTGTAAATAAACTAATTTGCATGAAAGAAAATGAATGATTCAATGTTTGATTTGGTGTTTTAATTTATAGTTGGATTCTATATGAGAAGCCAAACTTTGAAGGGCCCTCTATTCCTCTGGAGGAAGGAGAAATTGAATTTACAAACCTTTGGGGTGAAGAACCACTCGATAACAAAGATGAATGCAAATGTCCCGAGCCTGCAGTGATTGGTTCAATGAGGCATGTAGTAAAGGCAAGTATGGATATGAGTAGACTATAGATTACGGCTTAAACTTTGTAGACTATGGGTGATTTGTCTGACATGGTAGACCAAACTATGGCTTACCAAGTCTGTACAAATATGTGGGCTCCGGGAGAGGAGAGGAACTTGCAGCCACTTTACTCCTTCCTGGTTCTTTTGGGTGGTGCCAATTGCATAGGCCCATTCCAAGCAGTCAGGATGCCTCTATGATTGGCCCCTCCCAGTTTCAACATGGCAGCAGTATAGATTAGCAACTTGCTACAAGGGTGCTCTCCTGTAAATGCTAAAGGGGCACCACAAGTATGTTTTGTCTTTCCCTTTGCTGCACAGAATAGACTCAGTCCTAATTTTATAATTTATCATTCTGTCTTCATAATTTTGCCAGGATTATAGCATTTGCCGAATTGACCTGTTTACAGAACCAGAAGGGCTGGGTCTTGTAAATTCATACTTTGACGACACGGAAGAAACTCGATTTGGTTCTGCACAGAAAACATGTTCTATCAAAGTGCATCGGGGCATGTAAGTATATAGATATGCATCCTTAAAAAAAGGTACTAGTTTATAGTAGATATCAAATGCCCAGATTTGGAAATGATACATTTATGCATAAGGTTATACATATATTTTTTTGTTCTGTTGTGTAGTGAGTGATGATCATATAAGGCATTGGTTTTCAACCAGTGTGCCATAGCACCTTGAGGTGCCTTGAATGAGTCAGGGGTGCTGTGGGCAACACTGGCCTCTGTCCCTCTTTCCTTCCCTCCCTCCTCTGATGCCCTCTTGCATCTCTGC